CTTGAAGCTGTGCCAGTGCAAGGTGCACCTTAGTCCTCACATGGTATCCCCTTCTGTAGGTCTGAGTGTCCGTCTCCCCTTTGCTTCTGAGGACACAAATTATAGTAAATTAAGGGCCCACTCTACCCAGTAGAACCCCATGTGTAACACCTCCGTTTCCAAATGGGGCTTAATTCTGAGGAAATGGAGGTAAGGATACACATAATGTAGGATACACACACATGTATTCATATATACACATATACACACATGTACTATGTATATATAGAGAAGTATATAAACATATATATGGAGAGAGAGAAATTCAATAAATAATCATGAATTTAATTTGTGCTTTTCCCTATCACCCGAGATATATTCCGTGGGCTAATGAGTTCTGTGTGTGATTCCCAAGTCATTTGTTAGTTCTGAGCCTACAGAAGATGTTTCAGCTTGACAAGAACAGGTGTAGCTCTGACTGCTCAGGCCTGCATCTAGAGTGCTTGACGAAATGATGTCAAGTGGGTGAATAAATACAGATCAATTCATTTTTGTCATCAAATACTGTAAGAGTATTCTATTACTAGCAAGAACTCAGTCTCACTCAGAGTTGGTCTAACTATATCCAAAGTTCCATCTTTTTTTTCAAGTTTATTGTTGCATTTGAACAGCATCATATAAAACAGTAGCCACATCCCACCACCACAGCCCTCCTCTCCTAGCCCCTTCTTCTGCCTTCATCTCTCTCTGCATCTCAAGACTTATGCTTGACTATGAGGTGTGGCCTGGTCACTGGTTTGGCTTATACTAATTCTTTTTCTGTCAATACTAGGGATTGAACTAGGGCTCTGTACATGCTAGACAGGAGTTCTACCACTGATCTACATCGTCAGCCTGCTTTTTATTCTGTATTTTGTTAAATAAATCACTACGTTCTCCAGGCTGGTCTTGAATTTGCTCTGTAGCTTAGGCAGACCTTGACTTTGTTATTCTCCTACCTTGACCTCCTGAGTAGTGCTATTACACCATCAAATTCTGGTTTTCTTTTAATTGAATTCTTAAATGTCAATCATTCTCTTTATTTCTGTGATAGAGATTGTGGTTGGTCTAATACATAACTTATCTTTTCTTAAAGGCAGAAGCCCAGGGTGAGTTACTTGCTGAAAAGCAACATTTTAGATTATAGATTGTCAACAGGAATACTATGAGCAGTAGTCATGGAGCAAAGTTTCTGGAGATTCCCTTATCCATGGCCATCTATCCTATTTTACACTTGATTAAGAATTGAGAAATGGTGCAACATCTCTTATTTGGAGCATAAAGTGACCTTAGCAATGGTAGCTAGCTACACACTAAGAAAGACAGAAGGAGTTTGGTTTCTTACTAACCTAGGTTTACTATCAACATAAGGCAGTTACATCTGGATTTCTCTAGGGGATAGGGAAAGCTGTGGTGATTTGAACGAAAATGGCTCCCATTTTCCCATTTTCATTCATAAGGAGTGGCACTACTAGGAGTACAAACTTGGGGTTCACAGTGTGATTGAATATCCCCCAACACTTTTTGGGTTGAATCCTAGAGGGGCAAGGAGGGCAGGTCAGAAGGTTTCTTTCCCTCATCTCTGCCCAGGGATAAATTCTGTGGGTGGGCACTAGATTAACTCCACTGTATAGCTATTTCTCTCTAAGGCCGTCCTTGCCTTCCTTGGCTTATATAGTAGCATCAGTCTATGTGTGCATCAATTTGCATGGAATATATTCCCTTTCAGTGTCTATGGCTCTTCTTCCTTTTTTTTTTTTTATAAGAATATAAGTCATGTTGGGCAAAGGAGCCATCTTACTTAACTATACCTATGGCAACCTTGTATCTGCCCTTCAGAAAAGGCCACCTTCTACCAAATTATTTTGGCTCTTAAAACCTAGCACCACTGTCTCCACAATCACCTATCTACTTAGTGGTAGTAGTAGATTTTCCCAGTTGCTATTCCTGAGGCCTCCACACTGAAGCAGGTTTTGACTTAGCAACTTCCTGTATATATACATCCTGTATTTGAAATATATGGACTGTTTTCTGTTTTCTGGGACTCTGTTGTAGTCATTGCAGTTTTCCCAAAAGAAACAAATCTTGATTTCTCCCACATGAACCCAATGCTTGACTTAGATTTTCCTTCAAAATTCATAGAGACAGCAGGCAAAACTCAATGGATTGCAGCCTGGGTGAGAGACTCCAGCAACACCTCTACACCAACCAGGAACCTGCCCAGTGCCTATAGGCACTATTATTACCTTTTTGTAATAAAGAAGCATGGTCCTGCCCAGCACCATGATAGTCTAAACAGGACAAGGAGACTCACACATGAGCCTGATGCAGTCCTCCTCGGGCTCTGAGGAGAACATTGACCCACACAATACCTTGCTGCTCTAGGCAAAGGGCACTACTGTGGTGAGCAAATTTATGGTATGGTATGGTATGGTATGGTATGGTATGGTATGGTATGGTATGGTATGGTATGATATGGTATGGTAGAGAGAAACACAGAATGGTTCATGTCCTGTGGACAGAGGCATATCTGAAGAGGTGAAAGTGGTGAGGAGTGGGCTGAGGTAGATGGCTTCATTGCCACTCAGGACCATGGTGGTGCCTGGGCCTGGGCTTCTTCTGGAGATCATGTCTGGGTTCATGGTCTCTGTTGATGTCTGTGGCTCCTGATAACACCAAAGACAGGGGGATAGGGCTGTACAGAGTTGGCCCCTCTTCTCTCTAGCTACAACACTAGGGAGAACTGATCCTGAAGTACTCAGGAGAGAGGTTTCTACACCTCATCTGGGCACTACAATAGTGCTGAGCCTGTGCACAGGGGCATGAGTAAACAGGCCATGAGGGCATAAGAATGGCAGAGCAGGTCATGCCCCTCTTGTGTGCCTTGTGGTGGCATGGGTGAGGGAAAGATTCCATCCCATCCTCCCCTCACCCCTCGCCTTCTGCAGCAGGTTGGGGACAGGACCCAACTCCTCACCAGATGCAGCACTTTCCTGTACTTCCCCAGGGCAGCACAACAGAGCTGACCCTGTTGGTGGAGGTGGGGGTGAGCTAGCCACAAGTTGTGAGCATGGGATAGCTGTCCGAGTTACTCATTTGTCTTTGAGATACGCCCCTAAATACCTGGGGCAGGTGGGAGAGCTGGCCCTGAGGTCCGAGGAGTGGGAGAGCTGTTCCCGCCCCTCACCAGTTGCAATATTCAGGAGAGCAGGCCCTGGGCAGCACAATAGAGCTTACTTACCCTGAAGGTGTTGGTGTGGGAGAACCAATCCTGAGTACATGAAAGTGGGAAAACTGGCCCTACCCTTTGCTCCTTGCTGCAAGGGGTGAACTAGCTAGAACAATATTGGAGAGCTCACCCTGGTGGGGAAGACAGGGGAGAGCTGGTGGGTTGACCAACCCTGAAACTACACAGACCCAGAACCAGGGTTTTGTGTTGGTTAATCCTAACATCCTCACTGTCTGTGATCTGCTGGATCATGGCAGAGAGTTGGTACTGAGGACCCAGGCCTGCAAGATCTCCATGACAAAGGGAAGCAATAAGATGTACAGGAAGAGTCCAGTGAGGGCCCAGCATTGATGGTGTATCAGGGACCAGGGGTCTTGAACCAGACCAGTGATTCTTTGTAAAATCATGTAAAAATGTATGGATAAAGGAGTTTACTACATGACACACTATGTCATACTGCAGCTTCCATGACGAGATTTTCCTCTTCTTCCTTTTTTTCCATTTTTCTCTTAAATTTTATTTTGTTTTTGTTTTTGGTGGGGGGAGAGAGATGGATGGGATCTGGAGGTATGATATGAAAGACACACAAAGAATAAATAAAAAGAAAGAAAAAATTAATGGAAACAGCAGAGAATTTCAAGTCTTTATGGCCTTAAATGCTAATATTAAGTACCAAAACATAAGTATTCCCTCTATTTTATTCTAGTTATTCTAGTAGATAGTGGATACTGTGGCTTCTGCCATAAGGTTTAAACACTAGGAAAAGATGGAGAAGTGTATTTCTTCATGGTTCTTGAAGATATTTTGCAATCTTGCAATGATGAACTCTAAAAACCATAGGCATTTTTTTTAATGTGCAACTCACTCTTGTCCTCCTCACCCCCAAATTTCTATTATTTGCTGAAAATGCTGGGTAATAGTCCAGAAGAATTTTATTATCATTGACTAGAAAGCACAACTTAATAGTTGCTTAACTCTTTCACATCAGAACATTTATATTTGACAAGTAAATATAACATACCATTTTTACCATGAACTAGGATGCTTCTAGGCTTAAACTTTCCACTCTGGTTTTTAGAGAAGCAACATATTTGACCTGGAAGGAACTACAGTTATTTTTCTACTTTCCCTCCACACACAGTATTAAGAATGTTAGGACAAAGCATCAGTTGGCTGCTTCACATTGACACACTGAGGTAAACCATTACCTGTTTTTCCATATCTGTCCTGGTTTTAGCAATCTAAGTTTCAGTGACCTAAAAGCCTTGATGAACTTCCAAAAATAGGGTGTAGATTTAAGGTCCTATGGTGACCTACTTCTTCATTATACTTCCTAAAACAGTTTATGAGATTATTTATGTATTAAACATGTTTCAGGAACTGGAGGTATGCCTGGCAGTTAAGCATGTGTACAGCTCTCAGTCTTGCTGAGGACCTGATTGGGTCCCTAGCACTCATGTCAGGCAGTTCACAAGCTCCAGGGGGCTCTGACACCTTTGGTCTCTTGGGCAATGGAACTCACATAACTGAAAATATAAAATAAATCTTTAAAAAGGGATACAAATATTATTTCACTTTATCTCCTCTCTTTTATTCTTGGAAAGTATATCTGTGTTGTTATGCATGGGTTAGACAAATCAGGAGACATTTCAAATAAACAAACAAAATGAATCTAAGAGGTTATAAGTGTTTGCATGTGTCACCGTGGAGACCAGAGAATGGATTGTCACCATGGAGATCTGAATAAACACTCTGATGATTAACTCCATGTGGCATCAGATATGGAGGTGATTGCTGAAGGAAGAGATACAAATTGAATTGAAATTATACAACCAGACATGATTTATGTGAGAACAGTCTGGGATTTTTTTAAGGCAAGCTTTCATGTGAAATATATCTGTGCTACTATTGCTCTACTAACAAGCAAGAATAAACCTTTAGGCAAATTTCAAGGTTTAGAGGATTAGTTATTGTGATTCATCAGCTGTTAAAATATTATCGGATTAGAGGTAATTTCTGTCCACCTTTCCACTTCTTTTTTCACACTGATTGCTAGTATAACAAGTTCTGTACAGTTATGCTGTGATAACATGCTATCTAGTCTCTGTTAAGTGACTAGATAGCATGGAGGCCATAATAAGCCTGCTATAAGTATCATGTCTTGAGAGAAGCGTCCCATTGCAGAGGATTTGATTAATGCTGAGGCCCATAACTTTTCAAATTGCTGGCAAGTAGTGATGCATGAATGTTTAGGTGTAGAAGAGACATCTTATCAATTGCCTCCTTCCCAGAACACCAGGCTCAGAAAATATCGTGAAAGAGGGCAGGAAAGATGTAAGAGCCATAGGATGGAAAAGAGTATTATGAAATGCTGTCCTTTGGATAGGATGGGACTGTCACTACAACTCTGGTTACCTACACTTGATCAAGCCAGCTAAAAAATTCTGAGCATGGCACAGGGAGGGATTCCCAAGACCCCACCACTACTTGAGAGCTATTGGAAATTGATGGCTATTGAGAAAGGGAGAGTCAATTTTCTTGGAAGGTGGATACTTGGGGTTGCCCAAGCCCAGTAGATGACCCCTTCAGCCACAGGCATGTGGTTAGTTGAATTCAGTGGGATATAAAAATGTAGAAGACATGACTTTAGGGGACAGATGTGCTGGAATGACTGGGAGAGATGGGAAAGAGGGAATAATGGAGTACATGATCAAGATATATTGTATATATGTATGAGATTTTCAGAATAAATGAAAAATATAAAGTAGAGTGTAGTGGGTAGCTATTCCAGCTTTCATCTGGAAATTCCAACCCCCATTGAGGGTTCAGCAACTGTCATGCCTACAAGGCGGGGTGAAGGGAGGCACTGGGAAACCCGAGATCTGGATGGGCCTGCGCGCTTTCTCAGTTCCTTGACCCTAGACAGTGGAAGTTGACCGAGCAGAGCTCCAGAGAACACCACTGGACTTCGATACACCTTCCCCAGACCCTACAACCTACCTTTCCCTTTTTTGTAAGTTACCCACTAAATAAATCTTCCTTTTAACTACGTGAAGTGGCCAGAATAATTTCACCAATAGTAGAGTGGTGGCTTTAAAAGTCTTTACTTCTGCATTTGTACACACACACACACACACACACACACACACACACACACACACACATGCTTTGAAGCATAGTTTTAAAAAAGAAATATGAAAATTCTCTCCATTCTATCAAATAGAAACTGAGATGTAGAAATTAAATACTTTGTACAAGATTGCCCAGAAAATGGAGATGCTAGTAGTCAAATCAGTCTCATCAAGTTCTATACTCTAATAAGATGAAATTCTTTTTAAAGTGCTTCAATTCAAATCAAGGAAATAGATGCACTAATGAAAAATAACACCTAATGATAACTAGTGAAAAATAATAGGGCAATATTGTGTCTTTATAGCACCTACACACATCTGTGCTAGTATTTAATTATAGGTTAAACCTAAATACTCATTTGCCTCTTCCTACTCACCACATATACATCTTTAGGTATTCCAAGATGCAGAGGTCAGATTTCACACCAAATAGCTAAAAAGGGAAAGGGGGATATTTAAAAGTCTCACTTAGGATACCTAAATGAGTATCAGGGACAGTCATGCTTGGAAAATACAGATTCCCACATTATACCATTTTTGTACTTCAGTGCACACATAACTCTTGATAGGCATTTGAGTACAATTTACCCTAATATATACATTTAAGCTATCCATGTGAATTGATTCAAAAGTTAGATCCAGTTGGAATGATGTTGGCTCCTCTTTCTAAATTCAGTTTCTTTTCAGAACACAGGTGGACAGCACCCAATGACCAAGTTTTGCCAAAGAACATAAATATTTCAGTGAGATTATTAGGATCCCAGGATACATTATGTTAGATCCACAAACCTTTTATCAGAAAGTATATGGTGATAGTGAAACTTGTTTGAACCTCAGGCACCAGAATTTATTGTAAACTTAAAGAATAACTGTCTCAGTGATGTTGGTTACATTCATCCATTAAAAGGAGCACTCAAGGGAAGCCCCATACCCAGTAGCAAATGGCTAACACATGATGAACTAAATTTTGGAGATGTTTTGTCTAATAATTTTTTTTACCTTTCTTGTATTTTGTTTATATATTAAGGTCTTTGAATTTGTGTTTTTTAATGGTGTGTATGTGTGTGTGTTTCTTATATTTTTTTCTTTGTTGTTTGTTTTTCTTTTTTCTTTTCTCTGTCTGTTTGCTTTGCTTTATTTGTTTGTCTGTTTATTGGCCTGTTTGTTTTCTCAAGAAAGAGAGAAAGAATATGTGGAATTGGTTGGATGGTGAGGTACGTAGGATCTGGGAGAAAACAAGAGAGGGGAAACTGTGATTAGAATATACTATCTGAAAAACTTATTTTCAATTAATAAAACAAAATCTTGTGGAAGATACCTTTGCAAATTGTTAATAACTAGGTAATAGCAAGTATTTGGATAGAAACAAGGGTAAGTTGTTATGGATATTGACATAGATATTAGAAAATATAATTGTATTTCCTGAGCTGAGCACATGTACTGTTATTTGTGGTCTCCTTTCTAGTCTACCACATTTAATTGTGTAGATCCCCTGAACATACACAAATTCCCCTGCTGGGCTTATTTAAGTCATATCAGAAGCAAATAATTTGTTTTAGTTCGTTGGATGGTGTTGATTATATAAATACATAATTTCATTTCTCTCTGTGATTGAAAATTTACAGAAAAATATGAACACATTTCTATCTAGGAGGCATATAAGATTTTGTGGTGTGCTTTTCAATGTACACTATACCTAGTTTCATTAGATAGTTTCATTTCTTGTTTTTGTCTTTTTAAAAAAACTATGTTAAATGTATATGTGTTATATGAATCATTTCTTGATTAAATGTTGTTTTGGAGGAAGAATAGGGTCATGGTTAGCTTCAGTTAACTTGGTACACCTGGGGAAAAGAACCCCAGCTGAAGAATCACTTCGTCCAAATGGCTTATGGGCATATCTATGAAGGCGTTTTTTTGGTTGCCAATCGATGAGGGCCCAGTCCACTGTGGGTAATACCTCCCCTGGGAAGGTGGTTCTGGGTCATGTAAGGAAGGTAGCTGAGCAAGCCAAAGGAAGCAGGTAGTAAGCAGAGTTCCTTCACAGTCTTTGTTTCAGTTGCTGCCTCCAAGTCCCAGCCTTGAGCTCTTGCCCTGTCTTCTCCTGATGATGGACTATAAATGTAAGATGAAATAACCCTTTCCACCAAAGGATGATTTTGGCCAGTGTTTTATCACAGCAACAGAGAACCCAAAGTAAAATAAGTGGCATACCCACTTGGCTACTTCTTTGCTGACACTGTAATCAATCTCATGTCCTCCAGTCTTCTAAGTCTCCATATTTGCAGGTTCCATACTTAGTCCTCAAAACCAGCCTCACTTTTTCCTGAACTTAAGCTGTGATATGTTTTTTTTTTTAATTTGATCTATCTGCATTTATCTTTCAGAGATTACTCACAGTTTCTAGTCAATAAGAGTCTCCCATCCTGTTGTCTATCACTGTGTTTTATTTAGTTTCCCTTAAATTCCCATCTGCTATTTTCTAGAGGTCAGAGGAAAGAATCAGGAATGTCCCAAGTCTGCAATCCCCATCTTCCTTCCTGTGATGATAATCATCATTGTCAACATGACTGCATTTGGAATCACCTAGGAGACACACCTCTATGGGTGCATTTGAGATGTTTAACTGAGGAGAAAAGACTCTGAAGGTCAGTGGAACTTTCCTAAAGACTGAGGTCCTGGACTTAATAGAATAGAGAAAACAAGGTGAGCATACATCTCTTTTTGTTTTCTGACTGTGGCTGCAATATCACCAGCTGTCTCAAACTCCTGTCTTCATGACTTCCTCACGATGATGGACTGTCCCCTGAGACTCTGAGCCAAAATGAAACCCTTAGGTCACTTTTGTCAGGTATTTTGACACAGCAAAGGAAACAGCAGCTAACACATTGTTTCAGCTCGGTTGTGTTTCCCTACAGCCTTCTGCACATGCTCAGTCAGATATCCCATAGCAGCCACAACGTGTGATGTCCAAAAGGAATTCTTTACCACAATCAAATACTGTTCTTTGTGTATATTCTCTGCTTAGCAGAAGGAAAACCTGCTACATCCTGACAGCCCCATTTCTCTTCTAATTAAATATTCAAGCTTTAGTCATTGTATAACTTAAATCATCCTTTAATCATATCTTTAATCATCCTTTGTCTCCTTTTATTGTTATCAGAAAATGCCACCAACTATGTCTAGGTGCTGTTAATGACAAAAACTAATATTTTATCTTAACTTTCATTTAAAAAGTATTCACTCTAACAAATACTCCAATGTTTATACTTTGCCAAAAATTCTTCTGAATGTCTTTGAGATTCTACTCTACTAGAACATCTGCAAGACTCAGTTTAGTTTATCTTGGAACATGCTCAAGGCTTCCAGGCTGAGATAAGCTGAACATAGCTACTCAAGACCATTGCTGTAACATGGTGTGGTAAGCCCCAGTATCATGACCAATAAATGAGGCTGTGTTAAAATAGATGTCAGGAAGAAAATTTCATAGCAGACCATGGGAAATCATAGAGAATGTAGAGTAGCTTCTGAGGACCATGGGAATCATAGAGAATGTAGAGTAGCTTCTGCGGACCATGG